CACTTCTTGTTTCACAGCATATAACATTATGGGCCATCTACTATTCAAAATTTTGAAAATCATCGGAGTTGTCTACATTGGTTAAAAAACATTGTAAGATCACTATGGGTTTAAAACTTGTAAGTTTACTATATTCCAATCCAATGCCTAATCGTCTAAGCCAGTCAAAGTCTAATTACATTGGTCAACATTTGATTGCAACACACAAATGAGAGGAAAATGAGTGATTTCCTCAAGAACATGACATTGACATTTGATGGGGAAATGAATCATTTTTTTTTATAATCTTTCTATCATTTAGCTTAATTTAAGTTGTATTTGGTATCATTAATGTTTAAACATTTTGAGTTAATCAATATGAATTCGTATAATACCATTATTTGAGGTCATTTATAGTTGAGAATTTGAGATAGACATACCTTAAAAATGCATCACAGGGAGGCTATTAATAATCAAATTGACATATTAGCAGTAATAATCGTTATAGCTAATTGTCCCAAAACATTTTGGATAGAAACTACAATAGCTAAATGACTGAAAATTTTATTCATAGTTAATCTTAAAAATGAAAACAACCCTCAAGCTTGGAAATGACTTATCTAAGATTAGATGCAATGTCATTTTCTTACAACCACAACTGCCTTCATGAAAATTGGTAATTCTTTTGTACATGCAACCAAACAAAAACTTGAATGGTTGGAAAATTTATATATAATTTATATGTAGGTATCTTAAAAAGTGAATCAAGAGAACCATCCCTCATTGGAAAATGACTTTCCCAATGTTAGAAGCAATGTCATTTTCTTATAACCACAAATCAGCTTCATGAAAATTGGCCATCTCTCTCTCTCTCTCTCTCTCTCTCTCTCTATCTATCTATCTATCTATCTATCTATCTATCTATCTATCTATCTATCTATCTATATATATATAAAAAGAGGGTGTGGAATTTTTCTTGGCTAAAATGCTCACATTTGTTATTTAGTCCATTTCTAATTATGAAGGTTGAAAATGTAATTTCAATTAATGCTTTTCACCTAACTTAATCCCCTCTCATTAACTCTTGTATTTAAGGTATTAACTCCCATTATCTCTTGTTAAATCACATATTTAAGTTAATTTTTCATTAATAAAAGCTATTAATTAGATCTATGTCCAATAATTTTAATAATATAAACTCCTATATTTTAAAACTTATTAAAAAACAAAACCATCCTTTATCCAAGTGATGACTAAGCAATTCAACTAACCAAATCAAATTGACCAACCCATGAAGTCATAGTTTGATTATAAAATTTTAAACAGAAATAAATATAAAAAATTACAAAAATGTAGAAAAATAGACGCGTTTATGATACTTTTTATTAATCAAATTAAAAAAAAAACAAGTGTAATAAACAAGAATTATTTGTATGGATGATGAAAATGAAATACATAATCTAAAACTAACCAAAAATGATTTTTTTCCTATTAAGAAATGATCAATAGTTCAACTTTTTGGTCAATTCTGTCAACCTTTAATGTCATAATTAAATAATAAAAATGAATAGAATATAAAAAATGCATAAATTTTACAAAAAAAAATTGGCCACATGTATAATATCATATATTTAACATATTAAACAAAAAATAAGTGTAAATGACAATATTATTCTAACACACATAGAAATAAAAAATTATAGAAAAAATTAAACACATCTATAACTCCATATTTACACTACTATTAAAAATATGAATAAAATTGTGGAACTTTTTTTTAACTAAAATATCCATTTTTTGAATTTAATCCCTATTTAATTGTGAGGTTTAAAATGTAGTTTGAATTACAACTTTCACCCTATTCAATTCCCCTTCTTTAAATCTTACACTATTTTTTGATAAATAAACAAAAAAAGTATCCATGTTCTTTTATTTATCAGGTAAATAAAGTAATGACCATTTTAGTCATAAAAATCCACTATTAAAGGGGCATTTTGTCTCATTCAAGTGTTAGCAACTCTCCTCCTAGGTGGGAAAGTTATTTATCCACCTAGGAGATGGGTATTCTTGGTCCCTACATTAATCTGAAAAATGAACATGGTATTCTTGTTCAATGGGAACCAAAATCTCATTGACCAACTTTCCCCCCTCTCAAAATCCAAAAAAAAAGAACGCCCCCCCGAGGCTGTGTTTGGTTGTAATGCAAACAAATTTGTACTAATGCAAAACTATGGTAGTGCAAATGATTTGACTACAAATTTTGACCTATTTTTCTTTCAAATTTTAGCTTACTTTGATTGATTGCAATACAAATGAAGTAAATTAAGACATGAAGAAGAATAAAGTAAAACCCAAAACAAAGTTAAACCAAATTTTACATTATTTCTTTTGCACTCTTATGCATTTGTACTAGTGCAAATAAAATTGCACTACAACCAAACACAACCTAATAGTCAATGTTTGTAACATCTCTTATCTCCATTAAATCCCTTGTTTCCTCTTAAATCTCTCTTAATCCCTTTTGGCTCTTTCTAATAAAGTAGGGTGTAAATTAGACGGATTGGATTAGGTTAGGGGCCAAATCTAAATATGAACTCTAGGTTGAACTTAAACTGATGTCAAAAGTCTAAAGAAACCATTGCTCCTTTCCATGGGTATCAAGTTTTCTCACTTTTTTTATTAATTTAATGTAGAATTTTCATGCATTATTTTGCTTCAATAATAAAAAGCAATAAGAAAACACTTATCGTGAGCCTTTGGTTATCTTTATTAGTTCAATTTAAATTGAACAATAAGTTTAGGAAGCAGTTTTAAATTATTAATTGGTTCCACATGACAAATCTAGAACCATCCCATTTATTAATCGCGACAATTAGGTCCCCCAATTACACTTGAGATCTATAATTATCTATGATAATAACAATTTAAAATTTCATTTTTGATAATATAACCTTGTTAAAAATGATTATGTTGATAACAGATGTGTTTTAATCGAAATTATCTCATATACAATCTATGAAATTTACCCTTTAGGACATAAAATATAACAAAAAATTACAAGAACAAAACCAATAGACTTGTGTATATTACTAACTAATATAATTGGTTCAGGTCTAAATTGGACCATAACTGCAAGAACCATACCTGACTCACCTATTAATTGAAACAGAACCACATAATCGACAAATTCACAGTTGGTTCGGTTCTTTTGGGTAGACCATACCCATTGACAACCCTAGCTAATAATATATATATGGATATTATAAAAAGATAAAATTAATATATTACATATAATATTTTATGTTATGCAAATTATGATATACATTTGATTTTGATACATATATTATGTGTAATATAATGTAAAATTTTGTACATATTAAATAAATTGTATTCAAAGAAGTAGGTGGCCCAAAGTCTAGACCAACCCGGATTTTGAATTAAATCAATTTAGATATTTAATTTAAACATAAAAATTATAAAAATAATGTAAAGGTATCTAACAAAAGCAAAAAATAATAAACATTAAAAATAGTGAAAATTTACATGAAAGCGCATCTCAAAAGCAATTGCTCCTAGCCTCCCACTCGGACATGTGTCTAACCACTCAAAAAGAAGTATAAGCTTCAAGTGTTAGTTGCCTCAACTCTCAAAAAAGTCAATAGTAATTGCTTTTACTAAAAAGGAAAAAACTCATATAAAATAATGTAGGATCCATAAAATGGTTATTATTTAGAAATAAAACTTGATTTAATCATTTAATAAAAAACTATCAAATAAAATAATAACCTAAATTTACAACATAAAAAATGTGTCAAACAACATTTATTAGAATACTTCCCCATATTTAGTGGGAGAGTCATTCTCTAATCTACAAAACAAAATCGAACCTCCATGGAATTTTGGAAGCTTCTTGATTCATAAAGATCTCGCGTGCTGAAACTTCCTAATTCAGAAATTGGAAAACTCGGAGCTTCCTGGATCTGGAAACCAAGTTGCATTCTTTATGCCACACGTGCTGTAAGATCTGTTTTTCCTCTTTAGTCTTCCCCTCTACAACAACATCGAATCCAGGGAGAAACGAAAAGAGAGAGATAACCTCAAACTCGATGCAATGCTCAGCTTCAAGAAAACGGTGTCATTGCGATTCTGGAATAGTAATCGTGAAGAAGAATGTGCCTGTGCCCTGCTCCGCCTCTCGCATGAACAGTGTATTCGGATGAATAGGAGGCAGAGGAAGACAATGAACAATATCATTACCCTTTCTTAATATTTTTTTTTTAAATTATTCTATTTTAATTATTTTATAAAAATATTACTTTTTATTGATATTCAAGACAAAAAATTGCCCAGAAACCCTTTGTTTTAATATGTTCTGACCCAATAAAGACCCGACCCATTTTGCATGTACACACGACATACCCCCGAATTGCTTTATACATGTTTCACATGATTTACCTGTAATAAGTAATAACTTGATACGAGATGTCCAAAATGACCAGGCTAAATGCTTGCCAACTATAATAGGGTCTTAATGGGTCGGACCCATTAAACATAATTAAAAATGGGTCGGTCATGGGTTTGGTACAATGGGCCTGGATATGGATTGGGACCAGGTCTGTGCATTTTATTTAATTCTTATCAGGTAGGATCTAGTCTGACCCGGACCAGACCCGAGCTACTGTCACCATCTCTATCTCAAATTGGCAAATTTATCTGCTTACCCATTATTTGGGACATAACTAATCTGGGTTCGGATCGAGCCAGAGCCAGAGGGCCAGAAGGATTTTGGTGCCGTGCCATGGTGGGTCCTCCTCTCCTGCAACAGACCGTCAGACCATCCTTATCCATGGTTTTTACAGGAACAAAGGAGGCCATGATTTCGGGACTTCCGTGGTGAGATGACAATCCGTAAGAAACGTCGTACAACCACAGCCACACACTGACTCCGCAGTTCGAGGGACATACACGCCCCATGCAACCCCCTATCTCTTGAGAACACCAGCTGGCCTCCCAGCTTCTCCCCCAACGACACCTTTCACAGCCTCAGCAGTTAAAGATTAATTGATGGATAGATTCATCCAACAATCCACACCCAGAAAGGAATCTCTTATCAGAATCTATTCCAAGGTGCTTGTGTCTCTTTCGACCCGTCTAAGCCAAAGTCGTTAAGGTGTACAGAAACGTCTCAGCCAGGTGTGTTCATCGACACTTGTTCCCACCTTCCACTGCCAAGAATCAAGCCCACCTACTGATCTGACAAGTGTTCGTCAGCTCTTCACGTTGCTATAAGAGATACTCTTTTGGTCTGATTTGCTTATTTGGCATTAATGCCGGATCCTGGGAAGACACAGACATCAATGCTTCTTCTCGAGTTTTGATAGAGGATAGATCAGAATTGCTTGCACTTGCAATTGCAGAGAGTCGTTGATTGGAGTTATTTATCGATCAGTGATCAGTGATCAGTTCTGGTTATGGGGAAGGGAGAGAAGAGGTCACCCAAGAGGAATTCAAGGAAAGGATGTATGAGAGGCAAAGGAGGGCCAGAGAATGCTCTGTGCCCCTACAGGGGCGTAAGGCAGAGGACATGGGGGAAATGGGTGGCCGAAATCCGGGAGCCAAATCGAGGCGCCAGAATTTGGCTGGGCACGTTCAATACGTCGCTGGAAGCAGCGGTCGCTTACGACGATGCGGCTCGCAAGCTTTACGGGTCGTCGGCGAGGCTGAACTTGCCGGAGCTAGCAACCAGCCCGGCTTCTTGCTCCCCGGCAATAAGTCTGGCCAGCGGAAGTACTACTACTAGCTCGTCAAGTTCAAGCTTCCCTGGGCTGGACACTAGCACAAGCGACTCTAGCAAGAGTTTTCCAGCTTCCACGGATACTGAATTCACCATTAACGATTTGGAAAGCCAGTTCACTGTTGAGGATTTAATGAAGGATAATGATGAGCGTTTAATGCCCAACTCTAACAGCGATATGGAAGGTGGTTTCTGGGGGAACATGGCCTTAGAGCTGCCGGAGTGGCTGGAAGCGCCACCGGTGGATAGTGATTTCCTGACCATCGGAGATATTTTGGGTTGGGATTCCTAGCTAGCTCCTGATAGTGGTAATAGTTGCTTCTGAGGTTGTTTTTGGTTTTGTATAGATGACGAGTATTGTAAATATTATATATATATATAAAGCTAGCTAATACTAAGGTGACCAGAGGTTGTCGTAACTTGTACAGTTGTTGAAAGTTATGGAACTCGTGTTTATAACTTTGTATTTTAGTCGACGAGCAGGGTGTCCTTTCGATTGATTCTATTGGTTGATTCTTGATTTGAATGGACGAGATGAATGATTGAATGTTGGCAGTTGGGACAACATTTGGGTAGTTTTATTATTATTTCTGTATGTGGGTGTCAGTTAAACGGTACATATGATSAATGGTAGCATCTTTTCACAAAGTTTTCTTGGATCGTGTTGTATTCTATCACGTTTGTGGGCGGAAAAGTCCAATTGGACCTGTGGTCCGGCTTGACTATTTTGGTTCAGGTCCATGCTACACTTAAGGCTCCGCTGCATAACCCATTCAAAAGCTCAGGTTGGGCTAAGCCCACATTGCAAACCTGACACAAAGTCACAAACGGATCAGATGATCAATGATAGGCTGATAGCATCTTTAGACATAAGTTTTCCTGGATTATGTTGTATGCTATCATTTTTGTGGGCGGATTCAACTTGAGGAAAAGCCCAATTCAATCTGGGGTCAGGCTTCACTCTTTAGGCCCAAGCCCATTATGCACTTAAAGCTCCCCCGTATATTCAAAAGCCGAGGTTGGGCCAAGCTCAAGTTGCAACCCCAAAACAAACGGTTCCATACATGAGTATTCTTGGATCATGTTGTATGTTAATGACAAGGTTCAAAATATCTTCAACTATTGGCTTGTATCGGCCGATATGTATTATATCAGATACTTCCTGATATGCCCTTACAGGGGGTGTTTCGGGTTGGCGAGTGGTTCAGGGGTAGACCGGCCTTAGATCTGCCCCACTGAACCAGATTTGAAAAAAATTAAAACAAAAAAAATAAAAAACAGTACAGTGTTAATTACTTAACGTTATATTGTTATCATGTTTGTGGACCAATTCAACTTCTCATATCACATATGTGGCTCACACCTTTTCCAAACAAAGTTATAATGTGGGGAGGGGGTTTATTTGTTTTCTAATAGTTGATAAGAGAATTATTAGGGTTATTTTTGGAATAAAAACCTTGGACCAATTCTGATGAGGGCAGATTTGGCCCTCCAATGAAATTGTGACACATGGCACCTCGTGACAACTAGGTGACACCCAGGCAACAACTTACCAAGTTGGTGTTTCATCCAGGCACTGGCCTGGCGCGGCTTGCACGACCTGGCCGACCTAGATCAGCCTGGCACATGATCCGACCTGGCTGACCTAGCCAACCTGGATCATCCCGGCACATGATCCGACCTAGCCAACCTGGATCAGCCTGGCACATGACCCGACCTGGCCGACCTGGCAACCCATAAGACGTGCCCACCGATAAACTCGGCATAGCCCAAGGAGCTCGGCATATCTCCCCCGAGCAGCTCGCCACTTGTAGGGTAGCTTGGTACAGAAGAGCAGTTTGACGTATCGCAGGAAGATCTCCTACCTGACAACCGTACCTGACAGATTTGGAAGACCTGCGCCCACGTCTCTCACCAGGCGGCGCCTTGCCTGGCAGAGCCGTACTCTTCAACAACTGCCTGCACCCGCCGCCTCAGTTCTGACAGCGATGACTACGGCAAAGAGACAGAGGCGGTTATGCCTGACTTGACAGAGGCGGTCATGCCTGATTTGACAGGACACCGCTATATAAGGACTCCAACCCCTAAAGGGGGAGAGGATGGAAAAATGGAGGTAATCCCTGCTCTCTAGCTCTCTCATTTCTCTCCAAGCTCTCTACAGAATGCTAACTTAGGCATCGGAGAGTCCCCGCTGAGTAAATACCTCTGGGTCCTTTGATTCAGTTCTCGTAGGTTCCTCAGTTCTTGCCGCCTACAAAGAGGAGGAAAAGATGGAGTTCTCGCAAGTCCCTCAGCTCCCGCCGCCTACAAAGGAGAGGAGATCTCCTCATGCAGAGGGCAGTCGGGTTGCGCTGCACCAGGGAGCTCCACCATCCTCTGAGTTACAGGCCGCCTAGGAGCAGCTCAAATGACGAGTCCACCAAGGTAGCTCACCATCAGGGAGCTCGGCATAGCTCTCCCCCAGTCAATTCGACATCGGACAGCTCAGCATAGCTCTCCCTAGCTCGGCATAGCTCTCCCCCAGGCAATTCGCCATCAGGGAGCTCGACGTAGTTCTCCCCAGCTCGGCATAGCTCAAGGAGCTCAGCATAGTTCTCCCCAGCTCGGCATAGCTCAAGGAGCTCAGCATAGTTCTCCCCAGCTCGGCATAGCTCTCCCTAGCTCGGCATAGCTCGGGCAGCTCAGCATAGCTCTCCCCCAGGCAGTTCGCCATCAGGGAGCTCATCACCAGGTAGATCACCACTAGGGAGCTCGTCACCAGGTAGCTCACCACCAGGGAGCTCGTCACCAGGTAGCCCACCACCAGGGAGCTCTTCACCAGGTAGCTCACCACCAGGGAGCTCGTCACC